TGGAGCATGAAGATGAAGGAGTGCCAAGCACAGCTATCAGAGAGATTTCTCTGTTGAAAGAGATGCAGCATGGGAACATTGTAAGGTACATAAATTAGTAATCTCAGTTTATATGGTTTACTTGCACATTTTAAGGGAGGCAGAGACATGATGATGAGGCGCACGTGAAGGATAGGCTATTTGATGAAGATGAATGTCATTGCCAACTGATCTTGTTACATCAACTTATGCAGCTAAATAAATTTATAGAAAATAAATATCATATTTCTGGTTTGGGATTTCAGCTGCAATTGTTGCTGCTCAAATCAGGACAAGTTTTACTTGAGATTTTCACTCCTTGTTGTTTCCTCTATAACATTTTATGACAGATTGCAGGACGTGGTGCATAGTGAGAAGAGATTGTATCTGGTGTTTGAATACCTGGACTTGGATTTGAAGAAGCACATGGATTCATGCCCAGAATTTTCCAAGGATCCTCGTCTGGTTAAAGTGAGTGACCTCTTTCTGCCCGTTGGAGGCAGGTGAAATTGAGGCTTTGAAATTAAGCTTATAATTTAAAGATGATGGTGGATTGAGGGGTTGTACTGTTTAAATGTTTTAGCTAGCAAATCGTAATTTTGTTTCTTTTGAAAAGTATTTTCTTCAGTTCTCACTTCTATTGCTTGAGCACAATCACTGTATTCTGGTTGAAGACAAGAGAGATGGGGAATTGATTGTTCATTTTAGTATCTCTTCCTCCTCACCCCCAAGAGAAACACTTGTTTCGAGTAGTGACAAACCCCGTAAATTCTAAAGAAATTGAAACCCTTAGCCTTTTTGAGCTTGTAAAACTGTGTCTCATTGAGTCGTATTTTGCAGATGTTTCTATACCAAATACTACGTGGTATTGCTTATTGTCATTCCCATAGAGTCCTGCATCGAGATTTGAAGCCTCAAAATTTGCTGATTGATCGCCGCACTAATGCATTAAAGCTCGCCGATTTTGGATTGGCCCGAGCATTTGGTATTCCTGTCAGGACATTTACTCATGAGGTGAATATTATGAAACTTTGCCCTCTCTATCTATCTATGGTGATTGTGCGTCACTGATAATTGTTTATTTGCATTTGCATTTTCATTTTTTAGTGTTGATCTAATTTTATTTCTCACATCATTGTCAGAGGCATTTAAAAGACAGATCAAAGGATGGTTAAATAAAAATTAGTGTGAGGTTAATTTTTGTAATCGGACAGGTTTAGTGGGTTTCTTACAAACTATCAGTAGTGTTTCTTTACCATCACGTTATCTTATCTGATGCCAAGATTGGAGTTTATGAACTCAAGTAAATTTCTTCTAGCTGTAAAATTAAAGCAAGTAGGGACTTGAAGATCTCTATATTTTTATCTTCCTACTTCCTAGTATTTTCATCCCATTACCAATCCTTTCGGAATGGTTATTTCACTTGATCCAAAATGTCATATTAGTTTAAAGTTTTATGATTATTTGCAGGTGGTGACACTATGGTATAGGGCACCAGAAATATTACTTGGATCGCGTCATTATTCTACTCCTGTTGATGTGTGGTCAGTTGGTTGTATATTTGCTGAAATGGTGAACCGGCGACCATTGTTTCCTGGGGACTCTGAGATTGATGAACTGTTTAAGATTTTCAGGTGCTACTTTTTCCCATACAATGATTTCCTCTCTGTGATCATCTCTCTTCTTTTCAGATAGCTGTAGCCCCTTGATGGAGGTCGTCAAATGCTCTCTGTGACTATAGTCCATAAGTTTTTCTTTGTACAGAATGCATATTTTTTTCTGTTTGCTGTGTCCTTCAGATAACCCTACTTTCGTATTTTTCTCATGTTTGTGTTTGTCAGTAGTTTTCTTTTGTTTACTTTTTACCTTTTCCTTTCCCTTTGGTGGTGGGGGGCATGAGTTGGAAATGATATCTACTGAAAATCTTATTTGTCTGAAATCAGATGATTTTCTTATTATCATTTCAAGTTTCCTTATTTTGTAATGAAGAATCATGGGCACCCCAAATGAAGATACATGGCCTGGAGTGTCTTCGCTGCCTGATTTCAAATCCGCCTTTCCAAAGTGGCCCCATAAGGTAATTGAAGTTGGCATTAATTGTAACTTTTTTCCTCACCTCTTTATGAAACATCCCAGATTTATCAGATTAGAACTTCATTGGTGATTGCTCAACTTTCTAGGACCTTGCCACTGTCGTCCCGAATCTTGATGCAGCTGGTCTTGATCTCCTTCTTGTAAGTTCAGATTCCGTGCTTCAGCTTATCAAGAACATAAAGAAATAGATATATTCCCCAATGTTTGCAAATTCTGTAAATCAATTCTAGTATGATTTTGCTACAAAAATGAGATTCGCATTGAGTTGGCTCATAAGCTTACTTATAAGGAGAGAAAGTATAAAGATTCGTACTTCTCTGTAATAAGAGAAAGGGACTGTAGTTCCTGTTACTAATTCACTGTTGCATTACAATTACAGAAAATGCTCTCTTTGGATCCGAGCAGAAGAATCACTGCGAGAAGTGCCCTCGAGCACGAATACTTCAAGGATATTGGGTTTGTCCCCTAATTCCGGTACTCCTCATCCTCGTGTAAATGAAAATTGTGATGACTTTTAGGCTTTATTATATCTGATATGTGTGGTCCGTAGGTGAAAATTATCCGGATTTGATTCTCATGGACACATTCAACATCTGAGTGGCATGAGGCACAGCAATCCTTGAATTCATAGTGTTAGGCTTTTCCTGTTATTTTTATATGTTTATACTTTTTTCTGTTTTAAGTTTCAGTGTGATGAATATTGGCTTTTATTCTCCTTTTCAATACATTGAACTTCTGGACTGTTTATTCATTTAAAAACACTATATTTGGAATCAGGAGACCAACTCATGTCTATGTGGCCTTAGCGGATGTGTTTCATCCGAATAGTGCTATTCACCAACTGTGCTGATGATTAGCATCTAATGTGGCAGTGGATCAGGTTACAATAGCATTACTCTTTTCATTTACTCGATCCTTTGTAGCCTTTCGATGAATTTTCCTTTCAAAATGGAGATGATTATATAGCAATATTCTTTCAAAAGAGTACTCCGTAAATTGAAGAAGTTAATTATATTGAAAAATTATTCTCGATCCCAATATAGAAGCAAGTCAAGCAATCTCATGGGCGAGAATGAATCCACCTATTAATTGTATCGTTTCTACAAGAATGTTATTCGATAAGTGAAAATGAAATTGGTTGAAGATTGATATTGTTTTTATGATTTTTGAGGAACTTTTGAAAGTTCAATTTCAAAAAGGGTCAGAGCGACCATCAATTATCATCAACTGCGAATTGAGATTGTTCTCTTCCATTATTTTGGTAATGAGAAACATTTTGATCAAGTCTATGTCTTGATCATGTTAATGAACTATTTATAAATATTTAAATCACTTTTTATTTACACATTTTAGGGATTCATAAATTTTATTTATTTATCTATTATTCTTTTTTATATATTTATAATTTAAAGATTTTCAAAGCACGCCCTGAGTTTAATTAAAAAGTAAACAACAAATTAACAATAATAGATATCTATTATTTGTATTCTCGTTAAGGTCGTTAAATATTATTTTGGTGTAGAACTCATTTTCAATTTGGTGCAATCTGATCGACCAATTTCAGTTTGATCGTAAATTTAGTCATCCATCTTCAATTTTGTGCAATCAAGTCACTCAACTTCGATTTACTTGCAATTTGGTCACTTGTGCACTATTGTTAATTTAACATATGCTGACATCAATATTTAAAATAATTAATAGATGACATAAAAACATGCTTTAAGTTTATAAGGCTATTACATTAAAAAAATAATATTTGAAGATATGTGATCTGAATTTTACGTGACATTGACATGTACCATAGTTATACATTAGTTTTAATATACAGTCCGGTATATTACGTTATTTGAATTGATGGGACAATTCATAGAATGACCAAATTCACAAGCAAATCAAAGTTGAATGATTTGATTGCACAATTTTGAAGATGAATGATCATATGCACTTCCACCCAAAATTGGATGACTCGCGGTGCACTTAAACTTATTATTTCGTTAGTGTTCTTGATTCTAACTACATGTTAATTACTATTTATTGTACACTATCTATCTTGGTATGTTTAAACTTTAAAGAATATTGGATAATGCTAGAGGTACATAAGCATCTATATAAGAGTGTCCATAATGTTGATGTGGCATATGATCCCACCTTTAATTCAAATCTGATACTTACACATCAATGATCGGATGATTGCCACATCAGCATTATGAACACCCTTATGTAGATATTTATGTACATCTAGCATTATTCAAGAATATTGCATCAAAAAACTAATTCGACTAGTGAACAATTAAACTATCTGTTTATTACAATTTATTGTACGCTATCTTGGCATGTTTAAAGAATATTTCATCAAAAATAAATTTGAATGGCGAAAAATTAAAACTTTATTTTCGACTAAAATTGATATTCTAGCTTAAATCAAGATTTCTATTTGTTTAAAGTTAGTTCTTGATTATTTATTTAAAAAAAAATCAACATAAAAAATGGGCTTGCTATGGTCAGACCACGTCTCCTTGACATAATATCACGTAGCATTTCATCATTGAATTTTTTAAACATAGTCAGTTTTTTCATCAAATCATCTGCTGATATCTCGAATTATATCATTGCATCTATTAAATTTTTTCTGGTAAAGTGACAAAATTCTATTTGAAGAGTAGACTGGATAGTGAAACTCATAAGGAGACAAAATTGGTTTAGTTTGATAAATAGCTCATTCCAGTGCTATTTGTGTCAATTTCCCTTTCTTTTAACAAATGTCCATGGCGGTATATACAGACAGACCTCTATATACACACACCCAAACATTAATTGGTGCATTTGCAAGAACGGATGAAAAATCAAGTGCCCTAAAAATTGAGAGGATAAACAGTACTTGCTATTAAATGGAAGACGAGAGGATTCTTGAGAGAGAAAGGTTCCAAATCGAGCAAATTCGGCAGCTCGAATCAGAGGAATTGCAAGTCGAAGAAGTCGAGGAATCGTCAGACGATGAAGACGTTCAAACAAGGTAAGAAAATTGAATTAATCACTTAATTTTTACTTATTTTCACCTTAATTGCTTTTTGTCTTCACTTACAAAAAAATATTGAAATATGAGTGATGCAATTAAATATTTTTTTCTCCTGCTAACTTTGCACGTTTTGGAGAGTTCTAGTATGCGCGAAATTTGACATTCAGATCAGACATCGAATTCGTAGTTAATTCTTTGTTTAAATAAACTGATGAATTTTTATATAGTATAAATATTGTCTTTTTTTTTCTTTTGTGTGCGCGCGCGCGCGCGCGCGTGCCTAGTCTTACTGTGAGTCTGCCCATCTGTTATAATTATCTCGTAGTTTGCAATGCAATTTGAAAAAAATTGAAAATTAAATAGGAACTTATTTGTTAAAATCGTCTTGTAAGAAAACAAAAGAATTGGTTTATGCCCTTTTAGAGATAAGAGACTTATATCTCATAATTATCAACAAATAAAGCAGCATCTAAAGTAATCAACAGGTAAAATTAGCCAAATGATTGTCATGAACCGGCAGCTTAATTTTTACAGATATAAATTTCACTAGCTACAAATTAACAAAAAAATCATAGGCAATGTTGGCTGGTTTGCAGCGCTACAATTCTATTTGATTTTCTTTTCGTAGGACGTGAACTAATTTCTGATTGTTTTATCCTGGTTTGTCGTTATCTTAGTTCTGGCGGCCCTTCTGCATCTGTAGAATTCACATATGACACCTCTTTGGCTGCCTTACATTCATATCTCGGAGGTAGGTATCTTTTGATATATGACTCCATAAACTTTTATTTATGGAAAAATATCAGAGATTTAATGATCCACTCATTCATCAGAGGTTGAGAACGCTCACAACAGGCTGGCTTTCTTGGATGGTGGTGCTGTGCTGACCCTTCCTCTGTTCTATCTTGAAGGTTCTTGCTTAACCTTTTCTTGATTGTAATGTGATCTAAATGACCTCATGGTAGTTTCAACCATAGAGAAAAAAAACTAGTATAGTGAGCTTCGTGATGAAAGTGTTTGGGGCATGAGCACAACTGATGAGAAGTGACCACCTCTAAATTTTATGTGAATGTTTACGTGGGACCTCCTCTTCTGAAAATATCGTAAATGACCCACTGAATGTTTATTGATTATTTTGCTGAGCATACTACAATGATATCATTTAACACTGCCACAACTATTGATATTTCGTAATTTCTTATTTCTTATCTTTAGACCAATATTCCTCTTATATGACATTACCGGTTTTTTAAATCCCTTCCAAAACAACTTCAGTTGTGGCACGGAAAGTTTGCCACTCATTTTGCTGAAAATGAAACAGTTTTAATTTTTCTTCTGTCTCGCGTTTTATATTCATGTTTTACAAGTTTATGCTCCCTTTACTGGTTAAAGAAGCAGTCTAATCAATTCTTAGCAGTCATGCAAGTATTTTGTTTAATCTCTTCGATCTAAATATATATTTAAATTCTGCATTTCCCTCTTCGTTTTTTATCTGCTCAACTTACTAATTGTCATCTATATATCCTCGTAGTCACTTCGAGCTAAAATTCACCTTGAATTATGCTCCTCGGTTGTCTATTCTTTTTACACATGCCTTCAGACAAGTGAATTAAGCAATATTAAACACGCAGAACCTGCCTAATTGGCTAATTCAAGATAATGAAATGTCACAAGTCTAAGCAAGAATGATATCAAAAGTTTTGATGAGCCTAATGAAAACTTCACAGCTGAGGAACAACGAGACTTATATTTTTTACTGATCTGTTGTCCTGGTATACATCGTCTCCCTCCCCTCTCTTAACAGTTATATCCAACACATTATCTCGTTATCTACATACTCTCTTCAACTTTTTCTAATTTACCTTTTCTTTTTCAGGAGTTGTTCTGTTTCCAGAAGCCAGACTTCCCCTTAGAGTAATTTTACCTAATTTTATAGCAGCTGTTGAACGAGCGTTGAGACAAGTTGATGCTCCTTATTCTATTGGTGTGGTATGCGAGCTCCTTGATACACTATCCCGTTATCTTTCTGTGATTTAACTTTGTTTAGTCCTTAAAATTGACATGAGGTGAGCCATGTTTTTCAGGTTCGTCTTTACAGGGATCCTAATAATGGGAAGATAAAGTTTGCAACTACTGGTACGACTGCAGAGGTACAAACTGGAACTCTTCTTCCCAGTTCTTTTGTTTCATCCCTCCAAAATTGACCTATATGCCATGAATTTAGGGTTACATGTAATGCATATATATTTTATGTTTGCTCGTTTTATTTGTTTAAATAGAACTAAGATTCCATGACATTGTGAATGGGAAAGTACAATTCTGCGTGTAGTTCTAATTCTTACTTTAGAGAGAGTGACCTGCCAATATCTGCGTCTACCTTTCTTTCTTTTTTTTTTTTAAAAAAGGATTACAAATTTTACTTCATGTTTCTTTTAGGAATTAGTTTGATGGAGTATGCAACATGTTATAGCCAGAACTTATTTCTTTTGAATTTCTTTTATTTTTGTTGTGTTTCCACTTTCAAGAGCATGCTTTCCACATTTATACAAAGAGAATGATCATATGTCAAAACTGGATGCAATGAGAAATTATGTAAATTATCAAAAGTTTAGATATCTATTATCTATTACCTTGTATGCTTTGGGATATATGTAAATTCACACAAAACACATTTCTTTTTTAATAATTAAAGGAGGAAATTGGAGGTTATGGTTGTGATTTATTTATCTTTAGCTTTTCTTGCTAGCAGCTGTTATGATAAATTAATTCAGCATGAGGCTTTAAGTTTGTTTGACTATGTTGAAGCATGTTCATGAGGAAGAAAAACTTGAATTCTTTTAAATGAATGGCATGGCCGATTTAAACCATTATCCCTGGAACTTGGTACAGTATTTTCCTTCGAAATATTCTTTTGGAACTCACTTGTCTGTGTCTCGTGGTTTGAAATTGCTCATATGCTGTTTCTCCTGATCTCGTAGTCATAATCCAACATCCCTGAATAAGCAGCATAGTTTCGCACATGCATTAATTACAATCAACATCAGTAACATATATAAACTGATGCAAATATTCTACTTGACTGGTATTTCATCTGTCACTCTCTATGGTACAAGGGGTCTATGCTACCTACGGAATGTCATCCAACACTATTAAGGTACTTTCAGTGTCAAGCTATAAAGAACATAAATTCCAACAAGTCCTCCTAAAGTGCCAAATATATCAGAAAATTAGTCTCTTAATAGCCATCACAATGTAACGATTATATTATAAGAGCTAGTAATTGAAAGATATCAATTTAATGGTAATTTCAGCATAAAAAAGAAGTTTTGAGCTATTGAAAGGCAATTCAGGAGCTATTTGATAAGTTAAAGTTAGATAAATAGCATTTGAGCCATTAAAAGGTGATTACATGCCGGTTCATGTAACAAAATAAAACATTTGTCAACAAGATGGGGGCCATTTCGGCTGTTTATCTTCAGATCTAATGTTACTAAAAGAATAAGGGTGAGTTAAGGGTGAAAGTGGAGTTCAACTGTTCAAGATCAAGAAACCTGCACATTTCCAGATTTAACAATAATTTGACTTGAGGATTTAGAAACAAATGGAATTCTGACCACGAACATCTAATTTTCGAGAGGATATTACTTTTAAGGTGTTGGCTTTTCCGCAATACAGTCTTTGAATGAAAAAATATAAAGATAAAGGAAGATAAAAAGAAAGACAACAGAATAACACACCTATGCCAATCTTTTTTTTCTTTCTCTTTTAACTGAGAGAACAATTCGAGGAGTCTAGAGAATAACAAGTTTTGAGCTGTCTGTGTTGGAAGGGTTTTCAGGTTTTGACTCATTATTTAGATGGATGACGTCATCCTTCAACAAAGTAGTCTTGGTGAGGTTTAAATGATAGACTCCAAAAAATTAAAATGTGGTCTTTTAAGTTATCCGAAGTTATAAAAAAACAACCAAACATGCAAGGAAGCCAGAGTAGTGAATCTGGCTCATACCACAACTCGAACAAGGCTTGGAAAGGTATTGGTCTGACTTTTTTTGACATAGCTTTTTATAAATAGCATGCTGCAACCAGTGCCCCATATTCAAGAATTACTTGTGTCCAGTTTGTTGGGCTGGTGTACGAATATAACTTTTCTATATCATTTTGAATATAAATTGCAAAGTTGAGCCCTGATAGGATTCTTCATTTGTGGCCCGACTTCTTACTATCTCTATGGCAGATTCGGCAATATCGGCGTTTGGAAGATGGCTCAGTCAACATTGTCGCCCGTGGCCAGCAGCGTTTTCGTCTGAGACGCCGTTGGATTGACATAGATGGAGCTGTGAGTACCATTAGATACTTACTGGAATGAGAAGTTAGATCTTTATGCTTACCTTCTTGCAATTAACTTTCTTGTTATGCTTAATTTTCTTTCAATAGCCATGTGGAGAGGTTCAAATCATTCAGGAGGATTCTCCATTGAGAACACCACGGGATGCTGTTGGAAAACTGGCACCATTAAGGAAGTTGCGCATGGGCAGTGTCCTGCAAATGCCATCTTTAAATGATTCTCGTAATGAGCATAGCTGCATTGATGGAAATGATTCGGATGCAATATCAGATGGAAGCTTTGATGGTGAACTTTCATCAGCTGAAAGGATGTTGCACCGAGCTGCTCTAATTTCTTCTTATGGTTCTGATTTAGTTGAGGAATCAGTGAGTAGTGATGATGAGAAGTTTGAAACATCAAGATCTCATTTGGACAATTATGAGGGGTTCATGCATACAGAATACGGCAAAAGGAATGAAGAGGCTAGTCTTGGAGTAGGGAAAAGAGCTGTGTTGGATAAACCAAGTTGCAGAAAGGTGGGATGGGGAAAGTATTCGGTAGGCCATCTCCGTGATGCCCCTCGAGCCTTCTGGCCCAGTTGGGTTTACCGTATGTATGATTCCTATATTCTTGCTCAAAGAGCAGCAGGTATTGCGGCTTTTCCTCTTGCTTTTTCTTCCCCTCCCTCCTTATACTTGTCCTGTTCATCCAGTCAACCTTTTTCACGAATGATATGGATGCAGTTCACATATTTATCTATCCTGCATCAGGTATTGGCAGCAAAAGTGAAACTTCACAAATTCTGCAAAATATTATGCTTTAAATTTCTCAGTTTTCAAATGTTTTGATAATTTTCCTGGATAAGGTGCATATGGAAATGAATTAGGTAATTAAAACAAATGTGTATCAGACTAAGAAATCTTTTAGGAGTAATATTCTTGATCAAAATATTGCAGATAGGTGGAAGCACGTTGTTAGGGTGCCAAACATGGATGGATTTGTGATGAAACCAGACCTGCTTTCATTTCACATTGCTAGTAAAATTCCTGTATCTGAATCCACGAGGCAAGAGCTTCTAGAGATCGATGGAATTTCGTATAGGTTGCAACGGGAAATTGGGTTGCTTGAAAGTCTTGATCGCATTCAGTGTAAAACTTGTCAGGTAATACAGCATCCCGTTGTCAATTATGTCAGTTTTCATAATTACGGATCTGTGTGTATGAATACATCGACGTGTTCGGTAGAGATTAAAATTGAAAAACTAGCCGTTATTGTTGACTTTTATTAGACGAGTAGAATCCAATAACGGTTATATTTTCAATTTTAATTGGATTTTAAGTTTAGCCAAACATGTTCCATGTCTTTTCAGGTCTCTCTTGAATACTGAGCTACTTTTTTCTTTTTTCCTTTACCTCCTTGTAGACTCTAATTGCAAGGCGAAGTGATATGTTGGTGATGTCTAGTGAAGGTCCACTTGGGGCTTATGCAAATGAACACGGCTTTGTGCATGAAGTAACAACTCTTCTTAAAACAAATGGATTAGCAATCAAAGGGATTCCGACGAAAGAATACAGCTGGTTTCCTGGGTAAGTTTTCGTTTCTTTCTGCATCCAAGTAGGGTCCTGATAAAACGTATGTGCTAGTTTTATTCTTAACCAGTGACAATGTGCAAACTAGTAGAAATTTTTGTTACATTCTTAGGCAAGGCAACTAATTCATAAAGAACCATCGTTGGTGGAATTGAGAATATATAGCCCCATGTTTTGCCTAATGTTTAGGTCAAATCACTTTTTATCCACATATTTCGAGGGACCCACAAGTACTACACACTTATCCATCCTTCATTTCTATATACTTATAATTTAAACTATTTATAAACAATTCCCAAACATGCTTTAATGAATGTTTGATCCTTTGAGAGGAAATGCTTAACAGTTTGATTTTTTTTGTTGCAAAAATTAAAAATAAATAATTTCAGTAATTTTTTATCGTTCGAGAGGTACTGGACATTCTTAACAGTACGATTTATTTATTTTTTAATTTCTGCAACAATATCGCTAATCAAATTTCTTGAAAGTTCTAATGAAAATGAGAAGACAGAAATTGCCAGCTGTAGATTTTGCTGGGGCATCAAGAAGTTGAATGAGTAGACAGGTTATACGGTACCCTTAAATTGTTATCAAGTCTAACAAACTGTCTATTTCTGTTGAACATTTAATGGCTGAACCGTCCCTTCCAATTAGGGGGCTTTTCGAGAACCTTTTGGAAAAAAGAATTTGCTATGCGAGACAATACTACTCTTTGATGGTCTTGTGGTAAGACCAACCTCAATTTGTGAAGTGTATTGGTTTTGTAAAATCATTTGTCAATTGAGCTTCTATCATGGGCTGCATAGTAGCATTTTTCAGGTGTTATTTGGCCAGTAAGTTTAGGTTAATTTTACATGGTGAGTAGTTGATTAAGGGTAGTTAGACTCTGTTTGGTCCCCATTTTCTAAAACTCGTTTTCAACCTCACATTCTCCCAATGAAATAATTGTGCACGTAGATCCCTAACTTTTGCCTACTTTTTAACTACACATTCTCCAAAAAAATTACTTCTCACAAAATCTATTCTCAAAAAATCTCTCATCAAGTATCAAATGGGCTTAATTTGTTGAGGAAATATTTTGACCTGGTAAGTGATAGGGTAGGGGTATTCCAAACCTTTGAGGATTAGATTAGATAAGAGTGCATTTATCATGGTGTAGTTTCTTTCTTGTTTCGTAAAATTATTTATTGGAAGTCCCTCAGATGATTATTGTTGTGAAGTTACACCTTGTATGCTCCAGACTATGATGATCTGAATATTTCATTCAAGCATTTGTTAATCCGACTCTGAAGTTAAATTCTGTGAGATCAATGCAAGGTGCAGTCATACTTTTTAGTAGGAGTTGGGACATGAATATATGCTGAATAACTTGTGATAACGCAGGTATGCATGGTCAATTGCTGACTGTGCCACGTGTGAAATGCATATGGGATGGCTCTTCACAGCAACAAGGAAGAAATTGAAACCCCGGTCCTTTTGGGGAATTAAGAGTTCACAAATTGCTGATGAAACTCGGGAAGCCTAGTACACTGGTTTGTGCATTACCCCCATGGTACTTTTGGTGTTCAATCTGTATATAGCTAGTTACTGGGCAATGGTTAATCAGTTTCTTCATGTATAAAATGTCAAATAGCGTTACTGGTTGTGAGTGAATAGAGGGCAAAACTAGAATGGTGAAATCACATATTTGGCGTGTATGTCATAAGGATTCTAACTTACGGTTATTAGTCTCTACCGTGTCATCGCTTATTGAGAGTTTGAACAGTGAATCAATATCATATATTCTCAATAGAGCTAAATACGAATATATACAAACTGTTGTTCAATTTTTAGGGAAGTTAACTATAAATGAATTCAATTAATTACAGTATAAAAAGAGATGGGGGAGAAAATGATGTTTTGAATAGTGCTTTTTGGAAAATGTGGCTAAAAAGTAGAAAAAATACTTGGTTTACGTGTTGAATATTTTATTGTGTGAATGTGAAAGTTAACTATAAATGAATACAATTAATTACAGTATAAACTGTTAGCCAAGCTCAACTTGAAGAGTCACAGTTGTGCCTGGTTGACTTTGGAGACGAGCTCTGTCAACTTGTTTTTGTTCATTAAGAAGGTTGACTTGGATAGGTATCGACTTCTCATCACGTGCTTACTCCACTGGAAAGGAGAATCTTGTATGACCATAGAAGTGATGCATTAACATTCTAAGTAGCTATTTATTGTTAGTATTCGTGTTTATTTCCCGTACTTTTCCTTATTATATGTTCAAATTTCCTTTTGGCTGTATGTATCCCTCCTTGGACTTTCCATAGAGGACACAATAAGAACTAGAATCGCTCCAAGCATAAGGATTCTAGAGAGCTTAGCAGAAAAGATCGAAAATTGATTTCTCTGAATCGTTGGATCTTTTTTATTATTTAAGAGAGAGTAGCAAGTAGAGTTCAAAAATCGATTTCTCTGAATTATTGGATATTTTTTATTGTATATGAGAAAGTAGCAAGTAGAGTTTCATCAATCAACACACTCTGCATTCGATAAAGGTGTTAAAAGGGACCTTTATGTATTGAAGAAGAATACAATGCTCTAGCAAAAAATCCCAGCTGGGTAAATCACTCGAGCGTTGAATATGCGAGCATCAAATTCATCAAATTTTTGGTGACGTGGAATTGCTTGAAATGCACATATATTATGTAGACCTCTGATTGTTTTAGGTTTATTACCGCGCCCGAAGTGGGATGAGAATGGTAGAAAAGGCACATTTGGGTCCACGGTGCATGTTTATAAATGGTTTACGACGGGTTCGGTAGGAGGTGCGTATCGAGCTATGGCCTCTGCAAAGAACAAAAGTGTTGGTTCTATTCGTTAGCATGTAAAACCTTCTCGACTCTTTGTTTTAGGTTTATTACCGCGCCCGAAGTGGGATGAGAATGGTAGAAAAGGCACATTCGGTACCACGGTTCATGTTTATAGATGGTTTAATTTTTTTTTTAATCTCTAGCACAATCTATTTATTAACCATTCTGCTTTTTTTATACACATGCATTGGATTCTCTCCAGAAATAAAAATGAACCAGAAGATTCGAATGGCAAGAAACGACATTTGTTCATCATGGATGTCTGATCCTTCAATTTCATAAATAATATTGCCTCATTTGAGATATAAATGAAATGAACCAAGACCCGTTGGAGTGCAGCAGTCCCAGAATTATCACGTTAAAAAATTTTAGGAGACATGGTTAGTGCGTTTTTCCATTAATCAAATTAAAAATAACTTATTAATTTATTTTGACAATAATATTACGTACGAAGTTAATGCCATCAATAAGAAACAAACCAACAGCATCAAAAGATTTATACTACTCAAAATTTAAAAATGAAACCTTTTTTCATCAAGACAAATAAAATATACTTGTTTACATATAAATGAATAAGTTTTAAAATAAAAATCTTTTCTTTTGTTAATCAAAATAAAAAATAATCAAGTTGCTAATTTTGACACAATTTTTCAGAGTGCGTTTTTCTAATACAATTTTTCAATATTTATATGTTGTTTTACTAGACACAAGTCTAACTTCCAACAACAGTAACCATTGGAAGAGCCCATTTGAAAATAGTAAATAAAAAATAATTTCGTGATCCAACCAAAATTTAACTCGGGACCTCTTCGTCAATCTAAAATATATGCCAAAAACATGCCACCAACTTCAGAAAAATTCTTAGGAACTCGGGAGCTCAAATAACTTGAAAGCAGCCATGAGAATACTTGGCTGCCGAGTAACTCGAGCTGGTGCGGGGGAAGGACAATGGAACATGGTAGCCAAACAGAAGCTGTGATCATAGTCCAAAAATAGCATATATTGACCACTGAAGTTGAAAGCTATCGATGTCTGACCAGAATACAGAAGGCGCTCAATTATTAATTACCTGCTCACCAACTAGGGCATGCTCGAAACACAGTATTGGACAAAATAAACAGGGTTTTAACTTCTATATCCAATATTATGCCATCATCTCTACAAACATGCTTTGAAGTCGTAAAAACCAAAGGCCTATCTGCACTTCTCTCTGTTCCATGAAATTTCTGCAAAGATACAACACTCAAGTGAATGAATTGCAAAATACATTGTCATCAATAATTACCCATTTCACATGCATATAATAATAAATGGGCTATTTATCAATGACTTCAAACTGGTTCTACAAGAAATCAATGAAATAAAGTTTCCAGTACTTACAGACGCCAGTTACATGTAAAATAAAAGGATAATAAATATTACATATTGCAAAATGAGCTTATAATCCCGCCTAGTCGGAGCTTGCAATTCAGACATGGTAGTTGCAGCTTGAGAATTGTCAATAAGGGATTACCTTTTCGATAAAGGGCATCTTCTCGTGGCGAGGCATGTTTCGATACAACAGAAGGGGTCGAGGTCATGTTTTCCTTACAATTTATGCACATCTCAGCCTAAACAACAAATTTTTCACAAAGTACATCAACTGGAAATGCCTAATACTATCTGGCAAATGTAGCAGCACAATTCATGACACACAACAAATTAAGTAACTCTATTAGCACCAATCTATGTGCAAGTGGGAATCTAGCTAGACTTGTACAATTAATTAAAATACATCAAAATTTCCTAGGACGAGTCTAGGTGGGCTTACACTGCCACCTAGACAGGTGCTAAGCATCACTTGTGCTACATAGCATTATTCTAACAAATTACTAGGTTTTCAAAGGAAATGATAAATAAGTTCTGATACCTTTCAAGTCGTGAATACCATACAGCGAACACATTCTTGGTTCAAAACAGCTGACTCCTCCAACTCATTGAGATCTTAATTGTGACAGTCAATGGAAATTCCTTGGAGAGAGAGAGAGAGAACCAACAGAAAATTAAGAGTTATTTCCTGCAATAAATAGCCTTATCAATATAAGGCTATTTAAATTGATTCATGTACCAATTAAGTCCATATAGATGTCCCAAGTCAATGTTAGTCATCCCAGAAAATTATAAAATACAAATCAAGATATCCAAATCCAAAATAGCAATGAGGACCCAAAAAGGGAAGGATGTCGTATGGTTGACAGACTGCATAGCATAATATTAGGTTGCATGTACCAAAATACTATAGCAATCGATATGTAGCCTGTGTGCTCAGCCTTGGGTAACTATTGTTCAAAACTATACAAACTTCTACCAATAAGTAAACTACACCCACTGGATATCTCAAACCGCTTGAAGAATCTAGATGCATTTGCAATACAGCGCATAGGCGTTACAAATAATTATATATGTTGATAGTAAGAGTTAAGCATACTATCAACAACCAAGTTGGCAGAATCAGTCAGCTTGGAAGCAGAAAAAAGGCTATCCTTTCTTTTCTCAAATTACAGGAAACCAGTACTCCTTGCATTTCATCGTAAAGAAAAGTCAATTCCATGCAATCCGTAAGTCCTCGACAAAATTGGATGCCTCAGGAAACAGTTCTCCCATAACACACAGATGCAATGTAAAGGTTTTTTGCCCATTTCTCCTGCAAGCAACCAACAAATTTAATTACCGAGCATAGGGGTTGGAGCGGGGAGAAGATAGAAAAGAGATAAAGAACAATGCATAAATAATAGATTCAGATATTCAACCTTGACATGTGTACTTGGAAACGCAGAAGTCCGAAGAGTCTCCTGTGTCTCATCTGCTGGTTTTCTTCTTGGAACACTCAGAACGAGAGCAGTTTGATCCCATGTTGCAGCAGTTGATGTAATGCGGTAACCAGCATCCCACCTTCTATGAACACCTTCACTAGGGTACAGAAAGTCTAACTCAACAACCTGAAATTCACAAAACGATGTGCTCGGATCAACTTTCTTGGTCAGTTAAGAGGGCATCAAGTTGAATAGTTACTGTAATCTAGCATACCTGATCAGAAAATCCAGCCCCACGAGACATGACAATTGCCCATCTAGACCCTGCAGTTGCCATCGCAGTGACATAAAACCCCTCTCTCCATTTTTTGTTGATCCACTTAAATGGAAACGATTCACTGACTTTATATGATTGCTGCAGATACTGGGTACCTGTTCAGAAGGTAAGCAAATTAGGAGAATTCCAAATTTGTTTACCTTTTATTTTGAGGTTCTAGAATACTGACACTAACCCTTGGACATAACCACTAATGAACTCCCATTATTAGCCCCTGCTAACGCGCTTATATAATAATTCTTCTCCCATTGTTCCATAATCCATTCCTGCAGCAGATACTAGGGAAAGAGATTAGATACTGCTTGCATGCCTAGACCAATAAAAAGGAAAAAGGTCTAGTACACTGTCCAATGATTTTAAAAATACCCAAGTTTGGAAGAATTAAAAAAGACCTTGTGAAGGAAATAAGGAGACAGTTCGTAAACTTGAGCATTGAAACCAGTCCCTGCATCCATAATTAGGGCCCACAAGTTTGTACAAGATGCCACACTGCTGATAAATAGTCCATCTTCATTTCCTTTATCAATGTGCTGAGAGAGCCTAACATCTGCCACATTATAGTGATATCTACAAAACCAACCACAGAGTGCAACTCAATTATTCCTTTGCAAAATCCTGGAAGAAACTTACAGTTGAATTGTGCATACCTTTGCTTCATTGGGCGTCGAGCATTATATACACTAATCCATTGTGTTGCAGGCATACCCATTCGGATCTTTTTCTTTGGTTGCTCGTCATCATCTCCATCCATCATCAATCGCCCTCTCTTGTGCCCAACTTGATATATAAGCTTCATGACGTAAAAATAAGATGTGAGAACCGAACAATTTACAAGTTTTCAAGATCAATAAACAAACATAAGACACTGAGGCCAAATGGAAGCATACCTTTTGAGCACCTTCAGTATTGATTGGCCTGATGTCAGGATTTGGACCAACTATACCATCAAATAGGGAGATATACTTCGCATAATTAGGCTCCTCATCAAACTTCAAGTTAACAACATACTCAACAAACTGACGGAAAGGTGCGGGGCAGAAGCAACAGAGAGATTCTGGAGAAGTTGCCATCTTCTTTTTGCAGACAATGAAGCCTTTATTCTCACCCTAAACAAATCATGATGTGATTGTGAGCATTACAAAAATATATCAATAAAAAAACCCTAATCCATATCAGGTTACTGCCAACCTGGTATCCCTGCCAAGGAAGCCGGCCACGGAGAAGAAAAATTAATGTATATGCAAGGGACTCCAAATCATCTCTACGGCTCCCAGTTCTTCCAAGATGGGCATGCACACTTGCATAGCGTACTGTGCCCCTGAAAACCAATATTCTCATGCGTCAATAAATCAGTCAGTCAGAATAATAAAATCCGAAGACAAGGAAAGAAGTTAATAGACATCAAATACAGAATTACTTTACCTAAAAACATCTGGCCGTTGATCATAATCTACATGCAGACCAGTTGAACTATCGCGCCAGCGGGTGGCTGCAATGTCAAAACACGTAAAAGATCCATGAGACTAGAGATTCCATTATTATATTTGTAAACTGCACATGAATTATTAAAAGAAGGCTATAATTGCCAGCTAAAATACCCAATCCGAGATCAACGAGAAAAAGTTTTTTCTCATCAACTGTTCCAGGAGGACCAAGCAAAAAGTTCTCAGGCTTCACATCCCCATGCACATATCTGCAGAATTCATCACACATATTTCAAAATAACAGAAGTCATTAGTAAGTATATTTTACACATGGAGTTTGACAGGAAAGCATACGAAAGTTCAACACATTTCAATAAAGCCTAGATTAGTTAAGCAGTTACGAAATAAAAAACACCGTTCAGGCGTTACATTATGCAGAAAGGACATTTGATTCCATGCACTACTACTGTGCTTCATCAAATAAAACCTCCCCTAATAAATGAGAAGACATTCCTATCCACAAAGCCTCTTTTGTCATTAGCATAAATACTGCCACCTCGGAGGCTGCTATACACTAATAAATGAGAAGACATTCCTATCCACAAAGCCTCTTTTGTCATTGGCAATTTAGCATAAAATAACTGCCACCTCGGAGACTGCTTGCTGTCTATCTCAAAACAAAAAAAATCCTTTCCAAAAAAAAAAAAACACACTCACCATCTTCTGTGTTTCTGGTAACATAATGAAATATTCAAGATAAACCCCATGGTTATCTTAGACCACAAGTGTAAATTTGTACATGAAGAGAGGAAGCAATGCGATGATGACTTTGTGAGGAACAACTATAGTAGCATCCTTTTTAATGTGGATAAGCAGTGCTCATTGCTGAAAGTTCAGGAATTCGATATCTATTCATGGGACGCCTTAAAAAAGAAAACTTTTGGTAATTAATATCCAATGCCGCAGTCAGTTGCATTTATTTACAAGTCTGTGCTGTTCGCCCTAATTATTATACAATCTATAACTACTTGTCAACTGCATTCATATCCCAGCTCAATTTCCAAGCACTCAGAAAAGCTACTATCGAAGTAAATAAGTTTATAGCTTAGTGTAGTTGCACTGTCCACAATTTTCAACATTCTACGTACCAACATCACCACATTCTACATTTCCTTCTTTTATTAGCATTTATTACACTCAAAAAATTCCCAACGAGATCATGACACAATAGTATAGCGTCTCGAATATCAGCATGCCATCGTATCCGCGCTCAAGATTCTTTCTGTGCTTCTTACAAGTTAAGATACTAAAAGAAGCATAACCCTTCCGTAATTCAAATAACACACATCTGAAGTCAAAAGTTCAAATAATTACCCTTTGGAGTGCAACTTCTCTAAAATAGAGATGGCTTCAATTGCAATACAAGCCACCATTTCAATGGACATCCTGCAATTTCGTAATAAGATAGTTCAGAAATGCAGTCTTATTAACAAAATCCCAAAGAGAATAGATGAGAAATTTGTAGGAAACTTACGTGTGGGAAGTGTTATTCCACACATCCCACAGACTAGGTCCAAGCATATCCATAACCTGCAAAGATTGCCAGGTTTGTCAAAGCAATAGAAGAAAAAAAATATATGAAAGTTTGTCAGCAATATAGAGAATAAAATATGCACTACAGAAAGCACATACCATAATGTAGTAGTCATTTTGCCGTCCTTTGTAGTGTACGCGTGGTATGCCATGACTGCCACCAAGTGCACTATAAAAAGGAAAACAAAATTTAAGAGCACCCACATTAATTTTAGATTAAAAAAAACACTGGACAGACTAAATACTAATAAATAGTAATAAGAGAGAAACAGGCAACTAACTTGTAAACTTGCCACTCGTAAGGGGGTCCATAGTTACAACCCTTGCTGCTTCGATGCTCAAATTTCAAGGCTACCTAAAAGTAATAAGAAAATTTTCATAGTTTAGAAGCAATCTGGCAAACTGCTATAAATCACGAAAGCAAACAACAAAGTGCATACCTCTACAGCTCCTGGACCAGTTCTTTCATTCGGATTCGGGGGATTAATTCGACGACCAACATACACCTGTCCAAACCCTCCTTTCCCCAGTTTCCTATCAATTCGATATGCCGGAGAACTACCAACCTGGACCTGTTGTGCACAAAGAAGATGTCAGTAAATGTTCAAACTATATACAAAAAGGTGAGCTACCCACATAACCTCAAGTCAGATTCCGTAGGAGATTTAATTAATTAAAATAGGCATGCAACTCAATTCTGAAACGTTTCAGTTGTATAGAACAGTTCCATCAGAAAGACATCTGACCTAGAGTCCAAACTAAAACGCTTTTCAGCAATATTCAGTACCTTTATAAGTAATCATAACATTTAGGTCTGCTTTTCAACGTGGCACCAAAAATGCTATAAACTGGAATATTTACTCGAAAAAGTCTTTGCGCTTTTTCTAATTAATGCCCCATAAAAAATTAAACTTTCCCTTGTAAGGTGCATCAATACGACAACAGCACTATGAATTCCCATTTTCAACATCAAAATACTTGTAGCTTCCCTCTCAATTCTCTGCATAGGCTTCTCAAACAGATTCCATGAAGAAAATGAAACAAAATAAGGCAATGCAACCCAATTCAGGTAAACATAAAGGCAGTTCAGCAAAGACAATCTCATCCATACATATATTGAATCACCAAAAAGGAAATTTTGAATCAACCAAAAAATTTTCCACAAATGTTATGTATCAAAAAGAAAAAGAAAAAGAACAGAACTCGAAACAAAAATTGAACTGACCTTTTCCGGTATGGGAGCAGTGCTGCCCTCATCCTCAGCTCCCAGACCCTTGTCGCTGCCGCGGCCACCACTATTATCATAAGGATCCATCTTCTTCTCGACCTCTTCTTTAACTTCCTCTACCTTCTTTATCTCCTCACCCTCCAAGGATTTCGTTTTCTTCACCTTACCAACAATTCTTTCGCAGCTCTCGTTGTCATCATCATCATCTAGCACAACAACATTCACTGTCGCCTTATCCTTAACCCTAATATCCTCACTCACTCCGGTTCGCCTCCCTGCAGTTCGCCTGGTTCTCCGTACGGCTGGTGTCTTAGTCTTCTTCGTCTTCGGATCGGGTCGTGGAGCAGCAGCGGGTCGACGGCCTCTTCGCACTCCGCTACGCAGTTGAGGCATATCGATGATCACCCATCAACGCTGATGTGAATTCCCGAAATCGACCTTCATGAAACCCTATCTCTTCCTCTCAGATCGGTTAGCACAAAATTGAAATTTCACAAAAATAGCGAAAGAAACCAAGAGAAAACAATCTATCAGCTATTATATATTTTGTGTGTCTGTCTGAGCGTATACAGATTTTTGAAATTAGGGTTGAATTTTGGGAGATCTGAGTAGGGAAATGATAAACAATGGCTCCAAAAAGCAAATACAGTAAGCTTCTAGAGAGAGGAGACAGAGAGATGTATGTACAGATATACACATACAGTTTTTTTTTAACGTGGGAATAAAATAATTTATATTTTTGTTTAATTTCGAGGAAATTATTTCGTGGTAGTCCTAGGGTTTGGGACGTTGATGATGTGTCAAACAATGATTGGTTATAATATCTATCCCTTGAATTTTTATAGCAACGGTTTAGATTTTGTAGAAAATTAATTTTGTGAAAAGTGATTTTTTTTTTTAAATGTAATAAAAAAGTTATATTCGTATGTAAAATTTATTTTATTAAGAAAATACAGTTGAAAATTAATCCTTAAAAAAAAAAATTCAAATAATCTCCAATAGGGCCTAGCCAAAGTGGAGGTCGATGGGCTCACGCAAGGTCCAATGAGAAGGCGCTAGATAAGGTAGTGATGATAAGTAGGAAATAATTTTAAAATAAGATGTGTCAGATAATTTATTTCTTTTGATTAATGGGAAGAAACGGAAAAATGAAAAACTATTGTGTATAATTGTAACAAAGGGATCCAATCAAATCTATCATAAGAAGATAACTAACATAAGAAATTAGAATTTCAAGAACCTGACTATGTTTTAAACAGTCAAATGATAAATTGATATGTAGCATTACGTCAATCAGTATGTCTATATAGCATGGTTGTTTTCAAAATAACAAGTATTTACCTTGTATTTCTCTAATGTTTTACAATGTAATTTGTGCGTCTGTTTCCTTGTCTTAAAGGGTGCAAAGTCTTGATATAAAACTTTGAAAGCAAGAACTCAACACTGTCAACTAGAGCTCTATTTGAATTTCGTGTAATCTTAGCATCTTTTAACAAAATATTGTGTATGTTTCAAACATGGGATTTCTCCGACAATTGTCCCAAATAGAGATGACAAAAAAAACTGCATCATCCCTTCCTGAGTGGGTTGGTGGGGCGGGGCGAGGAGGGGCTCCCCGTCTCGGGTCGCGGAACCTGCCCCGTGAACCGTTTAAAAAAAAAAAGTATCCATATATTCTCTGCTAGCATACACGATGAATAAATGTTTTTTGGAAATAGAGTTATGGATTTATGTTCTTAAATTTGATGAACAATTTTTTTGGAAGTAGAGTTATCTTTTTTCCTTAACCGTATAACTAGAAATTTTTTAGAGTAAAAAAAAATTATAAAAAAAATAAACGGGGCAAGAAAACGGTCCCGTCCTATGAAAATAAACGACAATTGTCCCAAATACGAGTTATATGCCTATGAAAATAGACCATAATTTTTTTAGTTAGGCTCGATGCATGTCTATGCTCCCATAAAACCCAATATCCATTTTCCTTGGTCGTTCGTGATAAGTCCTCCATTGGTATAATCAATTCCCAAATTCCATCAATTATGTACCAGCACTCGTTATGTCTTCTGTTTTGATCATTAAAATACGGGTTTCACTCCTTTTTAGATAAAACAAAATTTAAAAAATCAATAAAAAATAAGGAAAATTGCAAAGGGAATTCCATAACTTTTCAAGAAGTGCTCATTTTCCTTGACCAATTTCATCAGTCATACCAACTGATAATCCACATTATGACCTACTTGAAACAATATAAAATTCAATGATCAACACAAAATTTCTTTAAAAATTGAAGGACGATCGGTGAATTTAACTCCAAGTTTTACTAGTTTACTAGCAAATTGCACATACGATGCATGTGACGTATTTGTAATTGAGAATTCAACAGTGTAGTTCATTTGTTCACATAATTGTAATTACATTTCTATCAATCGAAAATTTAATCAAATGAAGTACACTGTACATATACAAGTAGCATAAGAAATGGAAGTTCCGCTAAGAAAATCACACCAAAAACCTCCATATAAGAGGAGATGGCGGTTGGGAGCAAAATAAAAGAAGGCTGCCTTAGATATTCCAACTAAAATTTCCAAGGTCATAAAAGTTCTCTTCTGCCTCTTCCCCCTCGAGCTTTCTTATGTAAATGGATATGTGATATCACATCTATCTCAGTTACAAAAGTAAGCC